TATATATACTTATATATACATATATATATATATAATATAGCCACATATAACATTTAAATATGTATACATTACACAAGATTTCGGTTTGGGGAACTTTTGCACACTTTACAATTTATTATTTATTATTACCTTCCCCGAAGAAAGCTATGTATTCACCGCTGTATGTGTGTCGGTAGGTCTGTCTGTCTGTTTGCGTTTAAACAACTAAGGAATGGATTATCATAAAACTAGTGGAATGGCACATTATAATCTAAGAAAGAGATGATTAGGACAACCTCTTTACCTCCAACATTTTTATATCAAAAAAATATCTATTTAGATATCGTTAGATACAGTATCTTGTTTTTAAGGATGCTTAATAAGACGGCGTATCAGGTTGATATCTGTTTCACCAATTTTGTACCGTGTATAGAATGTAATCAATTTCCTTAAATTAGATTTGAACTTTCAACAAAACCCAAAGTGGCCTAGTTGGTTAAGGTGTCTGCGTAAACAGCAGCAGATCCCGGGTTGTTGGAATCCCGGTTGGGGATTTTTTTACACTCGCAAATTAATTCCTCTTTTTACTGTTTAAACTGTATATACATAGGCCTATACATAGCTACATAGGTATTGTATATATATATTATCAGAACCTTTATTGTCTATTTTATGTATTAATTTTTGGTTGCTGTATTTTTAGCATAACCAGGTCATTGACACTTGAATTCAGTCAACTTTAAGTGAAACTAAAAAGAGCTACATATTTTTTTTTCATTTAATAAGATGCATTAGTACGTTATTTGGTATAAACAGCCTTTTGTACAAGTTCTTCTTCAAAAAGCTCATGAAAATTCACCAGGGGAGCAATTTGCTCGGAAATACATCACGATCAAAATGTAAAAAAGTAATAAATACAAAATGATAACTAAGAAAGCAATTACAGAAGCAATTTGATACAATTTCTGCTTCCGTGCCGTTAGGATCAAGAAGAGGCGCAAGTAAGCAGACGAGAGACGCCGCAGTCATGAGGAATTCTCTTATAGATAGTGAATTACATTACATAATTCCATACCCACGGGGAATTCAATTAAAATGTTGGTAGACTGAGGAAAATTAAGCTGTAGAAATATATTTTCATCATAATTACTTATCACACAACAGGCATCTCTTATTTCGCTGGCCTATTTTTATTGCGATCAATGCATAATAAATAATATAGTAAGATTATTATAGTTTTTGAACAGCGATGTTTTGAACACGCTTGATGTTAGATACCCCTTCTAGTCCACTTATTGAATGCTTCAGGCGCTGCGATTGATTGTCTTAATGGCTTTCCTGAATGCTATTTGTAATAGAATTGCTTTAGGCATTCATGTTACACATGCAAACAACAAATTATTAGAAATTGTATTTGCGTACAAAAAGAAATAGTATGGATACAACCCGTAATAATAGTATGCATACAAAATATTTAGTATAAGAAATTACATATACATAATAATTATTTTTATTTTTACTAGGTATGAAATTTCTTATCATATCCACACCTTCACTTGGGCATATAATTGAAGTTTGTATCGGGGTGATGGTGATGATATCGTGATAAATTGCAAAAAGCCGTTGACTCGATAAAAGACCATAGCGAAAACAAATGGAATATTCAATATTTACATTTTTATATGTTTGATATTTGTTTTTGCTTTCATAAACTTTGAAATACAATGAAATAATAGATATTGTACTGTATAGGCCTATTATTATTATGTAGACCTAATTTCATATTTTTGTAAAAAAAAACTATTTTAAGATCATAAATTATTGCTAACACCGTTTTACACAAAATAAATACTCTTTAAACTGACACAACAATAAAGTCAAATCTCATAGGGGCCACCATCCGCCACTCTAGCCTATTTATGGTTTATTGTTAAAATTAAGAAGTTCATTTGTTTGTGGAAGGAAAGTAAGAAGGTTTCGGTAAAATGACAGTTTCGTCTGTCGCAGAAAGATGGCTAGGCTTACTGTCCTTTTTATTGAGTTAGACTATAAAGTGTAGTCGTGGTTGTCTCCCTAAACCCACCTCTGGCTTTGTCCAACCAATCTTTTCACACCTTATTACGAAATTCATTTTTTGTCTCCGTTTCCAACGTTACAAGCCAATAATGTACTCACATACACTAAAAATATCAGGGTTATAAAATATAATGACAGTTCTAGAAATACATGGTTCCCCGGCAGCACGGAAATAAACAGCTACAAACAGCTACAACAAAGGGCGGGTGAGCTCCTGGGCGAGTCAACAGCCAATCATGATTAGTTGAAGGAATAGGTTTACTGTAGTTTAAGAATTAGACTTAAGGTGTTTTTGTTTTTAAAGTATTTTGTTAACTGCATAAATCTGAAAGGAATCCAACACTTTCATGGTTTTTACATTGAATTTAACACTCGGTGGTGAATCCGCTGGAAATAGCGGTATAAATGATTATAGGTTACTTATACGGTATATATAGCGTATACAAACTTTTGGAATAAAAAAGATATTCATCAAAAGTATGCAATAATTGATGATAATTGAAATTGAAATAGAAGTCTTTTTTACGGATCATAGTCGACATGGCCTGTGATTTATTCTGCAGTCTTATGAGTTTGAAAGATTAGATTTTAGTTTGTATAATGAATCTATATAGGTGAGCGGTTGATAGAAATAATCTCATTACTGTAAGTTCTTCCGACCCACCAGCTGTTTCTGCCTTTATGCATTTAAGTTACTATTGCTGTTTTATGTTTCGACAATACCTCTATCAATTCATCACGCAAGCTATCGAATATCTTTGTGACTTTCGACACACATAAATATCTCTTAAGCAGATGTATCCAACACACATTCTAAGGCAATTTCACCAAGAACTGTTTGTTAATTTATTAGAAAAAACAAGTCTTCTCCCCTGTCGGAGCAACAACGCTGTGGTGAACTAAAGAAACCGACGTTCTAGTGGCTCTGTCAGTCCGATGTAAACTTTAGGGTCGTCTTCGTTGGTCTTTTCCACTTTTGCTTTGTAGATGATGTTAGAGGCCAGGCAATTTCCTTGGAGTGGGCATTGCTCTTATATATATATATAAAGAGTTCATACGCAAAAACCGATAAACGCCATTTCCGTCAAAAATGAATCAAAATAGCC